TTTTTCACAGTGACCGAGATTGGTCTCTGCTTGGCCTCTGCTTTCTGATCTCCTTTGGGTCCAATGCGGTAGACTGCTGTAACGTCGGGAGAGGGTTTAAGTCGAAGCTTCTTGACCCATAGGTCATCTAACTTTCGTCGAATCTCAGTCTCTGTTTCTCCGGGATATTCTTTAAGCCCGTGAACTATGATGTTATTTCTTCGGGATATCATCTCCAAGCGGTCCAACCGAGCCTCCAGGTTACGGACTTCCGTTCTTCCACGACTTCTTTGTAGACCTGTCTCCCTCTTCATGGCAACTGCTTCTTTTTTCATTTCTTTCAATTCCTTTCCCATTTCGTCTCGTTTCTTTTCTACTCCCACTATCCTATTTTGTAAACGGTCTGCAATCTTGCTGAATTCCTCTTTCATCTGTTCCGTCGATTCCTTCATCTCAGTTCGTATGGCCTTTACTTCCTTCAGGAGGTCACTCAAAATGTCTTCCTGTTTCTTCGCTTTAGCCATTCTCACTACTTCCACGAGCAAGTTGAGGGCTTGGTAGAAGATAGTCGACACTGTTGTGTTGGCCTCCGTTAACACCTACTGCAAAGCCCTGCAGGTGAGATTATAGGTCCTCTTCCGAAGGGCACACAAACCGTTAACTTCAGAGAGAGTTGGATAGATGTCGCCACTGCAGGGGTCGAGCCAGCGTCATGCGGCCCAGACATCAGCCGATCTCCAACTTCCCCCAGACACCAGTTCCCAGCACGACAACCCTCACCGCTGGCTGGGTGGCACCCTCCTCAGGACGTCCCTCCACCCTCCACTTCGCTTGACCACACTAGGGCTGGTAGTAAGCTGAGACCAGAAACGTGTATTCCCTCCAAGACACATAATCCAGCTCTCGTCACACAGTCGCCATCTTTTTCACCCCGCTTGGGCAATCGCATGTACCAAATTGGCAGAAAATTTTCATCCAATTTTCCCTAAATTAAGCGTCGAAGCTTTAAACTGAAGCTAAAACTAAAACTGGAAACAAATCTGAAAACAAATCCATGTTTTTTTTTTATTTCTGGACCCAACATCGGATGGACAAATAAAACTCTAACTTTGCATTTCCCCATTTTTCCCCTCCGGAAATAATTTGCTGCCCGCGGCCGGAGTCTCCGCGCTTTCGGAAAATCAGTTTCGTCTCCGGCCTCGACAGAAAGCTTTCCAAGCGCTGCACTGCTTGCTGGAAATTTCAGACCGAATTTCGCCCGATTTCGTTTTATTTCAGCAATTTTGTTTTTGCAATTTTAGAGACAAAAATTTAACTCGCTGATTGATGGTATGCCCATTCGAAGATACATTTTCGATCGCTAATCAGTAATCAGGAATAGAAAATGTTACACCACGGCTAGGGTTTCTGGAATTGAGAAATTTCCTGTCAGAGTTGCAACTCATATTTCCCCGCTTAGGGATGCCAGCACATTTGTCAAATTGTTGTTGCTGAATCAATTCATTTCATGCTGCCATGAATAATGAATTGAGTCACTTTTCGCCCTCGCATTTTCGGATTCCAAGGCACTCTTGCATGCAAATAACGACGAATGAGGACACGTAGAAAGCCAAATAGAATGAGAACCAGGAAATCGATGAGGCAAATTCAACCTGCCATCAAACGATATTAATCTACGATGATGCCGTGATATTAATTTACGATTGAGTGGTATTCCGGGCTGCGTCAGGTGGGAGGGGAATTACTTTCCAGATACATCCATTTATTATTCTCGGTAACAAATGGCAGAAGAGTGCAAATTTGCTCGTATCATTGTTATGCTTCCCTGGTTGACAAAGGACTCCTAGCTACTGTACCTGACACCTGGTGAGGAAAAACGCAATTACACTGACTTTATTGCCAGACCATATTTCTGATATTTTTCCTTAATGATTCTGACAACTGCATTTCCTTATTTTTATTTGAGACATTTCCTTTCCAAATGGAAAAAGCTTATTTGTACGAAGTTTTCATGGGAGTCAAATTGCTGCCTTTGGACATTTGAACTTCAGAGACAATAATCTTCGAAGGTTGTCAAAAATATAACATTCCGTTTTGGCACATCATGCCAACCAAGAATCTCATTCTAGCCGAGTTTCTGAAACTCAGTCATATATCACCCAAGCACCACAAAAGCGAGGAGGCATTTTCTCCACGCCCTGTTCATCCAGGCGGAGGACATAGACCCGAGAACGAAGGAAAGGCGAGAGCGGATAGCAGAAACGTGTCGGAGGTATGACCTCGGGAAGCACAAGCGGAGACCCGGACCCACAGACCCGACGAAGGAGGTGCCGTTCCCTCCTTCAGCGTCTTCTACCCGTGAATTTCTTCATCACTTGATTGTTTCCCGGCCTGACACATGCCAATGTTGCATTGTGGATAGGGTATATTGGATTTTGCGTCTTGTATCGAAGGGAGAGGCACTCGGCGCACTGCCCAATCTACAAGGCGGCATCCACGTCGCGGCTGTGGTTCATGTTGGCGGTTGGTCTGATGCCACTTTGCGGTCCGAGCAGGTGTCTGAATTCGCCATAGACACTTTCCCTCATCTCGTCAGGCCCGGAGAGGCTCAGAACTCTTTTTCGACTTTCCGACTCTTTTTCCCTTTCACCCCCGTACGAAGAGACGAAATATTTTTAAAATGCGAATTCCGGCACCAGTTCGAAAAGGATCCTTCTACTTCGACGCGAGCTGGTTAGAGAGTGAGTAAACTCGCCGAGTGTGCAGGCCGACAATTGTGTCACTTCGGATGGATTTTCTTCTTTTTTTTTTTATTTGGCCGATTTTGGCATCTGAGATGGGACTCGTGCCTTCTGACAAGGTTTTCGTTGTATTAAAAAAAAAAGCTCTCAATGTCTACAGGTCTGGTGTTCAATTACGTCCCCGATCAAGAAAATCCATTCTAGGATCTTCTCCTTTCGTCTTTCGTTGAAAAGCAAAAGTTATTAGTAAACTCGCCAGTCTTAATGTTCGCGAATTTAATGCATTAGGTCGTATATTGGGTCAAACATTTATTGAGGCCCTCTACTTTGGGCCAAGATCATAATGGAAACATACTCTTTATGATCGATTGGTATTAACGATAGTGGAAATAGATCCTACGGATCGTTAACAATTCAGGTAATAGTCAGATCGATGGATCGATGAATTAACGATAACTTTGTCGAATGCAGCGCCATCTGGATCCTCTGTCGTTGGTCCCCTTTGATGGTGCTTTCATGGCACCACTTAAGCAACTTACTTTATTAAGCTGTCGCATTGATGGTGCGGGCAAGGTCGCTTAAGTGGAAACTAAGAATCTTCAGCAGAAGATAATGCATTTTAAGTCGAAACATGTTACGAGGGATTAAATGTGAACGCGCAGGGGCGCGTCTTCTTTCGGCATGGAAACTCGTTTCAAAGGAGGAGCAGGCTCGTCTCTCTCTAGGCAGATAATGCGCGGAGAAAACTGAGGTGCATGCATGCAGCGAGAGCTGTTAGAGCCAAGATACATAGACTATCAGATAGGCTCGAGTGGCTCACGCGCCTAGCGGCCGAGGAGGGAGCGCAGTCACTTGAGGCACGTGAATGTGCGTGTAGTGACGTCACAGCTGGGATATGATTCGCCTTTAGCTCGCTTCGATAGGGTGGGGGGAATTTTCAGTTGTTCTCGAACGTATGTGAATGCTTTGGGGGAAAGAGCCCTGAGACACAAAGCCTTCACCAATTCGCCATGCCCCCACTGTTTTGGCCTCTTTCCTCCTTTGAGAACATGTAATTGTACAGAAGAAAAATGTCCTTCCAAAAATTCTACATGAGCGCTTTCTTTTTTTTTCGTGATTTGGAGAACTCGACAAGTTTTTTCTTGAGACATTTCACATCCTTCTTGAGTTTTAGATTTTCTAACCTGACTCTTCGTAATTTTACTTTCAGACCTGATAGAATCCTGATTTCCAATTTCTCTCTGATTTCAGGGCAACATTTTGNGTTCACCACTCTGCAAGTAAAGAATTCCTGTCTCGACCTGAGCCGCACCTGCGGTTTGCGCAACTTAAGTCGGTTACCTCTCGTTCTCTTGCTGTCATCAAACTGGAAAAACCTACCACACTCGACATTATCTATTCCTTTAATTATCTTGAAAGCCTGGATGAGATCGCCCCTCCTTAACCTTCGTTCGAGCGAGTACAGTCTCAACACTTGACTTGGGTCTACAGCGCAGAGACAAGAAACAGAGCGAAAACCAGACGTAGCCTCGGCGAGGGCTCAAAAGAGAATGAGTAGAGGCGCAGTCACGGCCTTTTATAGCGCAGTCACTTTAACGGCAGGTGAAAAAAGCCTTCACGCACCTAGCCACTCTGGAGGGCCTTGGTTAGAGCGACTGCGAGATGCTTGCCCGAGAGTGACGTCATGAATGAGGGTGTTGTTGTCTAGCGCTTGTTTTCTTTCCAGCAACTGGTAGAGGCTGGAGGGAAAAAAAGGCAGCGCCGTCCTTCACGCTTGCGGGTGACGTTGCGGCATTGCGATTCAGTCCGTCTCGCCGCGTCTATTCTGGATCCCCTTAGTCTCCTCCCCTTCCATCGATTTCCTCAGCCGCACGTTGCCCGTCCTCTACCCTCCCTCCTTCCCCCTTCCTCCTCCCTCCGATCCATTCTCCCGGCTCGTTTCCCCACGTCGAGTGCCTCCGCGTCTTTCTGCCAGGTCTAACTGGAACGTTCGAGCTACTTCTTCCCCGACCCTTAAAGGCCGGAAGATGCTCAGCCTGAAATCTCCCATGGTGGTTGTGTCCAACCGTTTACCGTTCGTTCTCTGCAAGGACGAACACGGGAAGCTGCATCGAAAGCAATGGTGAGTTCCAGCCTCGGAAAATGTTCTCTGTGGAACCTTTTCTTCTCGTGCCTGCAGGCATTCCATGCCTCGTCAAACTGTCAAGCAATACTGATCGGTGGTTTTTCTGAATGGTCCAGTTCTTTCCCCCCCCCCCCCCCCCCCCCCTCTAGCTAAACCATGAAGCATGGAAGCACATTTTCGCGGTGTAAAGCCATTTGGTCATGACTTCGTGTGAAAATTAAAATTTGACTTAAAATTGGATCAATATCGGCTGCCGAGGAACATACAGCTTGGCTCGACGTTGGCACACATCTCGGGACCATTATTGGGATTACAACCGGGCTCCTTGTTGGGCCAATATTGGCGTTAATATATTTTTCTCTGAATTCTTCATCCAGAGGAGGTATTCTCATGGTGAAAGCATTTCTATTATCAGTACCAGTATGGCCTGTACCAGTACAGCCCTCTACCCATGCACATGTATGTCCCATGGATAGGCAGGGGACATAGAACAGTACAGATGTTGATCTTCCCCTGAATGTACTATTTGTAGTACATTTCAGGGGAAGGTCCGCTCCTTACTGTTCTACGGTGTATCTGCGAATTCAGTCCCTTGTTTCCTCGTTATGTCCTCAGGATGAAGGATTGACCGACAAATATTTTCCGTGTTCTAATACTCCTTTTGGAGAGGGTCACCCTGTTTTCGTAAAGGGTTCTCATAGGGAATATGCGCTTGTTTATGACCTGAGCTCCATGATTCTGTCTCGAATGTGCAGATAAATTATGAAGTGTCCGAGTTTATCGATTGCTATAACAAGACTAGGCGAGACACATGGTGGCGAGGTACTAGACCCTCCTGTGAGGGACGATTCCAGGGAAAGAAGGAAGGGTACCTGGTACTTCTGCGTACTGTGCGAAAAGCGAGACCTACACCTCCATTTAGTGGCCTGGAGGAGAACTTCAACATTTCACAAAAATTGGTACGTGCGGTTCGGCACATTGGATCAACGCGTCGGTCCAATATTGGATTGATGATGGAATGGCAATATTGGGGGAGCCAACATTTAGCCTATATTGGCAATATTGCCCAAGATATAGCCCAATGTCGATCCAGCCATGAGCCAATATCTGGTGCTACTGCTGTGGTATTAATAGATGCAATGCAAAAAAAAAACAAACGACGATTCAAATGCAGTGGCGTAGCAAGGATGGGCAGGCTCCCACTCTGGTCAAAATGCATCTGCCCCCTCCCCTCCCCTCCCCATTGGTGAAATCCTGGCTACGCCACCGTTCAAATGTCTTTCGCGCCCCTCTATGTGTGAATGGCTGGCGCCTGCGCGCCGGATAGACTTGGGACTGCAGCCCAAGCTACGGCCTGTGCAGCCCATGGAGTGTATGTATCCATGGAGAGGCCTTCGTTCTTGAGGTGGAAAGAGGTCGAACCGGGAACGAAGCGACGCGAACGTTTCTCCCAGAACGCCCTAACAAAAATCCCTCGAAGGATGCTCTCGGACTGGGATGTAAGGAAGTGCGGTGGCAGTGTGAACGGAGAGCGGGAGGAAAACGATGCCGGCGAGTGGAAGGGATCACGCAGGAATCACGTGATGCCTCTGAGCAAGGTCACCGAACAGCGCCTCGTCCTTGGGGGGGGAGACTTCCCATTTCGTTCGAGAGAGAACGAGGCACGTTTCGCGTCATCCGCCTCGCCCTCCCTCGTGTAAGACATTTACACCGATGGCATGGCGGCGAAGGGTCGGACGAGAGGACGAGAAGGGTCGGTTTACCTTTTCCCGAAGACCACATGACGCCATGAGCATATTATTTTCTATATTTCCACTTAGGAGTCTAGGTGGGGGTTCAAGATACTCGGATAACCCGTGAATCATGACGCAGACAAGAGCTGCGTTCTGATTGGCCGGCGACGGTCTGTCGCTAGACGCATGTATTCCTAGAGGCATTCCCCTCAGACCCGTTCGAGGTGGTTCGAGGAACTCCAGATAGGCCTAACGTTCCACGTCCGCACTGAAATGGTTCGTGAAAGTATGAATAGGTCTGCGATTGGCCCAACGTTACACATCCTCAACGAGGTGTCTCGAAGACCACGGATTCACCCTTATAGGCTTAATTGGCCCGTAAGTCGAGAATTGAGTTTCTTTTGAAAGAAAAAAGGGAGGCCATGGCGTGACCAGAAGGCAGTCTGTTGGTTAGGCCTAGGTTTGACGTTAGTGAATCCCGTAGACAAGGGGGGATGGTTGAAGTTTCTCGTGCGACCCCAGCTCTAAGGGCTCAGATGGCGGGGGTGTCGCCTCGCCGTCATATACTCTCTGGTGCTACCGACCCCCCGAACACATGCGAACGATGCTGATTGATTTTCATTTATGCTACGCGGAGGGCTGCACGGGCATGCAGCCCGAGCATTTCATAGTGCGCTGATACTGCGGGAGACACGGGGAGGGGGCACACGGATCATTTACCTCAATGTATTTCGTGCAGGCTGCGAGACGGGCAGCCCGCAGTGCTCTAAACTCGATTTAAAAGATCTCAATGCCCATTTCATTAATTACATTTGAAAGTGATACTGTGCTTCCGAGATGATGGGGAGCTGCAGCCCCATAGCACGAGAGACAAAGCGGTTAAACCGGAAATAAAAAACGAGACGAAGCAATAGAATAGCATAGATTCGAATATCCCCATCGTCGTAGATCACCGGTGAAAGCCCCAAATCCGTAAAACCGTGTCTCACTTGTAGCGCCGGCGGACTTGTGACAGCCGTGGCCCCAGTCGTGATCCAGTGCGGCGGGCTCTGGGTTGGCTGGCCGGGGATCCACATGGACGACCCGTCCCAGCACGTCCCCGAGTCGGACCCCGAGGACAATGGGCCCTCGGCGGGCCTCAGGTCGGATCAGGTGAGGCTCAGGTCCGAGATTGCTGCTGTCTCATCTATAGTCTAAATCTCAGTGCGAGGCTATGGAAGCAAACAAAATAAGCATACTTTCCTCGAGTAAACATCGTTTATATCGAAAAGGAAACTGTTGACCGTTCCCTTGCAGGTCGTGCCCGTTCACATGGAGGAGCAGATGTTCGACGACTTCTACAACGGATGCTGCAATGCCACCTTCTGGCCCCTCTTCCATTCCATGCCCGATCGGGCCGTCTTTCAGGTGGACAAGTGGGAGGTAAGGGATTCCATCGGACGTGTTCGGTGTGCAGTCTGCTTTTCGATTATTGGTCAATGTCTTTACCATGGTAAGGCCATTGGCAGTCAGTTTGGTTCGGTTCGTTGCCCTAAGAAAACTCGGAAATTAGGGGAAGTTTTACGTTAAGAAATTTGACATTTGTCTGGTCAGCTTGAGCATACACAAATATCATGTTCATTTGGATTAGTAAGAAAGTCGTTCAGGAAGTTTTCTCTCATTTTACCTAAATGGCATTTTTTTTCCCTTTTGAAGTCGAGATATTTATGACCGACCCTACACTGTGCACTTTGCTTACACGTGACGTCTTCGGAGCGCCGCCAGATCTCGCACTTTTCATGCCATTTTTTTTGGCAACTCTCCGAATTCCTCCTTGTTTGTGCAGTGCACGCTGTTTCCGCATGATTCCCGTCGAGACCGTCGAACTGCATGGTCTTTGTTTGGGTTCGGACCTACAAATTACCCCAGGATTTATTTTTATTTATTTATTTTTTTAATTCACCGGGGGGGGGGGGGGGGTTCGAAAAGCCGATCTGGCAAAATTCTAAGTTTTTTTTTTCCCTTCACTTTTCCATGTGAAGGTCTTTCGACTGGATCCTTCAGCATAATGCATTTTCTCATGTAACATCTATTAGCCCTCAGCAGATTCTCTGAAGCATTGCAGTCTTGTTTCCGATGTTTTCCATCTCGCCTGTCGACTCAGCCTTTGCGTTACGAAAAATACCGCACAGAAGTGGATATTGTCCAAACGCCTCCTTTCAGGCGTACTCGACGGCGAACGCACTCTTCGCCCACCAAACGGTGGAGGCCCTGAAGAAGCTGAAGGCGCAGGAGGAGGAGGGCGAGGAGCGCATCCCCTTGGTCTGGATCCACGATTATCACCTCATGCTCGCTGCTAATCACATCCGGCAGGTCAGGGATGAACTTTTTGGCTAAACTTTAGAATCCGTTATCGTGCCTTTGGGAGCAAATAAGTGTCAATGCCATATGTGTTTTTATATGGATACTAGCAGAGGTACCCGGCGTTGCACGGGTGAATATTGTATAAATCCCATATTTGTCTGCACTAAATAAGGTATCCCGAGGCAGGGCTGGATTTAGAGGCAGGACACCCAGGCGACCGCCTGGGCGGGGGGGAGAGGAATGGAGGGGGGCCTTGGTCTTGGGCCGGTCCGACCCTGCCCTGCCGGGTCCGAATTTTGAAACGATACCTAATCTATGACCATCCCCAGATCAAATGAGAAAGCCATGCAATATTTGGTCGGACTGGAATCAGAGGCATAGCTGTGCATAAAGGATTGACAGAGAGACACAAACATGCAGAAATATAGTATAGAGACTGCAAGAAATAAGGTACCCTAGGGCAGGGCCGGATGTAGGGGCGGGCGACCCAGGCGACCGCCTGGGGCGGGAGGGGGAAAGATTCTCCTCGCCTGGGTCGCCATTTGATCTAGGGCCGGCCCTGCCCCGAATTTTGAAACGCCACCTAGCCTATGACCATCCCCGGACCAAATGAGGAAGTCATGCAAAGTTTGGTCGGACTGGGATCAGAGGCGTGGCCGTGCATAAAGGACAGACACACAAACATACCGAAATATAATAGTAATAGAAGATAGATAGATAGAATAGATAGATCTTCTCTTCCCTATATATAAAGAAGAAAGTTTGTCTGTTCCTTTATGCATTCGAACCCCGCAGGAGCCAGTGCAACCAAACTTTTCATGGCCTCTTCTTTCATCCAAGAGAAGGTCGAGGGCTATGTTTCGATCCAAAATGTTCACTCCCGGGGTACTTTTCCGGGGTACTGTAGTGTGCGGGATGCATAATTTGAAACCTTACTCCTGTTCGAACACTGGGACCGGAACAGCCAATCAAACTCCACCATTGTGTCATGGTAGGAACATGGCTACCCCCGTAGCCGCTGCAAGTTCAAGCGAATCAGGCACAACTCACGAATAAACAGGTCGCTGAACATATAGCTGAGTTCGAAAAGAATATGGGTCTATGGTTTTTTCAATTAAGTTGGACAGCTCAACGCAGGCCAACCTTCTCCTAACTGCCACCACTATGACACTAGGCCTATGCAACATAAGAAAATATTGGTTACGCGATGGCATATGAAGAGCTGCGTTTTATTCCCCAATGAATTTTCTATCATTGTCCCTACAATTTCCTTCCATCATTCCGCGAAGATAAACCTCGGAGAGTTTAGGATATTAAATAGGCTATGCTGCAAATGTGAAAGGATCCTACACTAGATTTGAAACTTGAATTCGTAAACAATTTGCCGATTCCGAAATTAGCATTGCTTTTGATTGCAAAATTAATGCAAACCTACTCCTACCGTTGGGCCTACTCGGTAAACTCATCTTGGCAACACGAAAAGATTGGTCTGCCTTGCTCTGGTGATGTACGGCGGGAAAACCCAAGTCCAACCAACACCTACTCAAAAAAATTAACTCCCTGCTTTTCAGGTAGAGCTGAAACCTGTATTAACATGGAAGTCGCCATTTTCCTATAATGACATTTTCCCCCAAAAAAAAAAAAAAGGGAATGGGTCCAAGCGCATTTTTGCGGCACCCAATATCGGTACTTAAAGGAAACCATAAGGCTAACGTTCCCCAATATGTCATGCATGAAATATCACATTTCCCCGGGCAACACCGGGTACTTCAGCTTGATAAGTATTTTTTTTTTTCTTGACGGTGGATTCACCCACGAAAAACTAGAAACTCGTCACAAATCTCGAGCCATGGCAAGCCGTAGGCTTACCAACCCCCAGCGCGATGGGGCACTTCAGCCAATCGCTTACAGCGACCCTGGCTGGCCCGATGCGAATGCCAGCCGGACCAAAGGTCGTGCATGAAGCCTTCTGGGCCTCATCTATTCCCCGCAAGCGGACGCTTCTTAGAGATCCTTCTCTGAGGAAAGGATTACTCATTACGGCAGAATAAAAGGATCGAGTAAGAAGGAATGGTCTTTACAAGAACCTGACAGAGAGAAGAGACTCTTCCAATTCTCGCTTCCCTTCTGCTCTATTTTCCTATAAGCCTCGAGTGCATGTCATTACAAGATACATGTAGTTTTTTCATGTTCGCGTTTACGTTATTGAATGGAATAAAGTTTGCTAGACAATTTTCCTCCTGATATTTTACATTTAATATTACTGTTGTCTGCCTTTCAATCATTAATCTTGATGCGATGTTAAACTGCTAAGTAATTGAGATCGGGCACGAAAGGTCAGGTGGACCTGTTATGGCCTGGGATGACCGGGCTTCCTCCTCTTTCGAGAGGAGGGCTCTCATTAGCTGGAGGGCAGGATAAGGGGGCCCCATCGCTACCAGTCATGGCACTGGCGCGGTTGGTCTTCAGAAAGTCGACCTATTTTGGAGAATGATGGGTCAGTTGGGGTTAGAAAAGGGTCGCGATTATTTTCTAACCCATCGTTTTCCAAAATAGGTAGGCTTTCTCACTCTTTCGGTTTAAATACCGGGTGTCTCAAAAAAAGTCCCGAACTTTACGCGCCTGCTGACGGAATACCACAAGAGTTATCAACAGGAAATGTTCAGAGTTTCACGTGCAATATTTGCAGGTAATGTCAGAAAAATCTGGATGAAATCGGTTGGTAACTTCCACGAATACCTGTTTGTCCCCCTCGCGATGTCAAAAGGGCGAAAAGAAGCGCGACTGACCTCAATTGAAGAGATTTTTGATCGGTCCTCCATTCTGGTCTGCTTGCAGACGCCGTTTCCATCGGTTGATTGACTTCCTAGTTGTGTTGTCATGGACAAGAGGCCACGCTGCCTGGTGTTCCGTCCAGCATGAACTGGCTCCTTTGGTTCGTTCCATGTTGGGAAGGTTTAGCTCTGGAGAAACGGGAGCCTCCCACTGATTTTCTTGGATCGAGGTACTATGGACACATAAAATTCGACCCCCCTGGAGAGAAATTTCGCTTTCCAATTGTTGGTGGGGGCCTCAAGGAAGGGCCCTAGAGCCCTAGACCCTAGAGCCGATTGCTGGCTCTCTCAGATTCCAGGTCAAGAGGTGGTTGGACTCCGATTTGCTTGAAGAAACTACTGCATGTTGGCATCCAAGACTTGTGAAAAAAAAGCCATCATTTGGGCTCTAACGATTTTCGAGATTTGGCGGCTCCAAACTAAGCCCCCAAGAGGAAAAGTGACCTTTGGGGTTAAAGCGCTTTCTTTGGTCCTAGTCTAGCTGGAAAAGAATTTTTGGACTCTAATTAAAGCTGTAACAATGTAGAATCAGAATAAAAGAGGTTGAATTTTTCTACAGGAGGGGGGTTGAAGAAAGGTAATAAGCGCTACCGCGCCTCTTGATTCCGTCTGGAATGCAATATATGAGGCGTGTGAAGTTCGGGACGTTTTATTTGGGCCACCCGGTATAGAAGGAACGCGGTTCCCTTGGTCTGCGTTTCTCGCTTCTCCTCTGAGGTTAGTTAGTTAGGGTTTAGTATAAAAAAAAAAAAGGAAAGAGCTGATGGGGCGCTAGTCGAATCGGGGCGAGTATCGAGCCCCCGAGGGATGACATTATTCCGTCGGAGAATATGTATACTGCAGTGGCCTTTTCTGTTCCAATGAAAATTTGCGTTCTCGACCTCCATTCAACATGGCTGCCCCGGTCTCCCGCTTTCTCCACAGAGAATAATGTAAAACCATGGGATGTTCTTAGCGCTAATCAAATGAAGCGCTTCCCTTTCTTAAGCACCTATCGCCTCAGAGCACCTTTGTACGTTACTCACGGGTGGCCTTGAAAAAACCCGTGAGTTGGAACAGATTATAAATGTGTTCCTGTTTTCGCCCCAGTCCACGTTTCAGATTATTATTTATTTTTATTAATAATTTATTGTTAATTACTTTTCAGCAGGAGCGTATTTAGGACCTTCATGGGTTAATAGACAATCAGCAAGTGTAAAGAAAAACCGGAGGACATAACAGAATCCTTGCCGTTTCTTTGAAATAGACAATGAGAAAATTAGGGCTGTACCGATGTATCGGCTAACACCGGTATCGGCCGCCGTTGTTAGACTATCGGCCACATCGGCCATCGGCAGGTGTGGAACCGGCCGGTGCCGATGTTCAAAGAAGAACGTGCTGAACGAGGAAAAATAAAGAAAATACCACGTGAACGGGGCTTGGTAACCGATTCTCGACGGCAATAGGAAAAAATTATGGCTATCGTAGTTCATCCATCGATGTATTGATGTCATATTCGATATTTGAGGTATGGTAGGCTTTTTCACCTTCGCGAAGGTCACACCTCCCCATTCAACTCCTCGAATCACAGGCGACAGATTATGGAAGGCGGATATAGGTTCGCGGCCCGATCGAGGCAAGAAACGGCGGAAACGAGGCAGAAATCTGATTCCGATGGCAGTGAGAAAAGACTGAATCCGTCGACACCCCCACCTCCACCCCCAACCCCCGCCGGCATCGATGCGCTATCGATGTTTCAGGTCGATATATGGGTGTTTTCGAAACACCCAGCGTGGAAGCAATAATAAAATTGAACGTGCATTCATAATATGTATATATTTGACTTTTTACAATTTTTGGTTGAATGCATTTTCGCTGTTTCTCTACACGTCACGATAGGCACCGACACCAACCGATAGGTATAAGAAAATAATCGGTCATTGGCCCACCGGCCAAATGTGGCCACCTAGAGAAAACCAATAGAGGGCAAATCATTTTTTCAAATGTCATCGATAGAAGCCAGTCAAGATATTTTAAGAATGTTCCGTTCTTGAACCAAAGAAAACCCGATGTGCAAAAAATGTGTAGACCCCTCTCGTGCTTCATTCACGCTGTAGCAATGCGAAGAGGAGAATCTGAAATGCAAATTGGGATTCTTCCTCCACATTCCCTTCCCGCCGTGGGACATCTTCCGTCTCTTCCCCTGGGACGACGAGGTCCTCCAAGGAATCCTCGGTGAGGACAATTGATTCATAATTTTCCTAATTTCTCCCCTTTCACCTTGTTTTCAACGGTCCACCTGCCCCGTATTTTATGGGAGAGTAGCATAGCAATCATATGGAACCGTACTTCAGGAAAAGGAAAGGTGGTAACCTTAAGTATGATTTAGCGAAACAATAGCGACGAAGTGTGAGTAGCTTCTGTTAGCACTGGAATTACGGAAGGTACGTAAATATACCTAGAGCTACCGGAGCAGTCATATTGATGGGTGTATTAAAGTCATGTAAAAGCTTTATTCTCTGACATTGTTTTTCAGGATGTTCATGAACTAAAGGAGGATGGCCATTTTCCGCCTAATCGCGTTCCACGCTGAAACCGATGCCGATCGATAAAACACCTCAAGTAGTGCCAAAGTGTCAATGGTCTCACCGAGACCCGAGGTTATCCAGATCCATCAGAGGGCGAAGAAATTGGGCAAGGGTAATGAGAAGAGGAACTTCCTAAAGCTTTTGCCTCGTAAAGTATTTGACGGTGGAGAAAGGAAGATGGGCCTGATCTGATTAGGCCTATAAACTCTAGTCTAAGCACAGGAGGAAATGCTATGCCAACTTTCACTGTTTAAATTGGTGATTTTTCAACTGGTGTGTTTCTCAACTCCGCACACATTTCCATTCCTTTTCCAAAAGCTATGTAAGTTAGTCTACCATATGCACTATCAGTATACCTTCCAGTCCCATGGGATAACAACACTGGACTCTGAGATATTCATCATGATTATCGGTTTCATCGGTATCGATTATATCGGATCCTTCTTGGCGAATATCGTTTTATCGAATATCGGTAAAACTCCTCATCGGTAACATCCCTAATTTACATTTGTTCCCAGCGTGTCAAATGTGTTGAGACGTCATCGTGCGTGCATTGAAAAGCATTTCCTTCCTTCCAGGATGCGATATGATAGGATTCCACATCGAGGACTACTGTCGGAATTTCCTGGACTGCTGCCAGCGGCGACTGGGCTTCCGGGTGGACCGGCTCCACAACCTGGTGGACGTGGCAGGGAGAACGGTGAAGGTCCGGGCTCTGCCGATCGGGATCCCGTACAAGCGGTTCGAAGACATGGCCAATGCGGCGACCAGGACGCTGCAGTCCTCCCTGCAGATCATCCTCGGGGTGGATCGACTCGACTATACGAAGGGAATCATAAACAGGTTATTGACTTGTATTTTTCTCTCGTTGATGGGGGGGCGATGGCTCGAAATTAAAGGTGAAAGAGGGATAAAGAGCTACACCTATTCCTATCCCCAGCAAATGGTGTGAAGTTGAGATTTTTCTGCTTGCTGTTTCCAAGCTTGACTCTTAAATTCCTTAAATTCTCATAGCTGATTCAAAGTATGCTGTGGTTAAGCCGATTCTCTATCAAATATGAAGTCGATGATAATCTTACTGGACATTAATAATGTAACGGTCGCGGTATGTATCCTGAGCAACCTGGCCCACTTTCGTTTGACTGGCCCTTGTATATTCCTAGATGTATCCATGTTCTAACAGACTTTATAATAAATACTACCAATCAGGTTAAAACACGAATGAAAAAAGTCAGACCATTATTACTTGCTTTCCTAAGACGTTTCTTTGGAAAAGGAGTTTGCTGCTGTGCCCTACATAATAAGTATTACAATTCTTGTCGATTGAAAAAGAAAGCGAATGGGAGCGATCGAGTCACGTGATATCTGGATCGTTTCGTCCAGTCTCTGATCATGATTCGCTGCCGAGTAGGATCCTATCATTCGAGAAACTTCTGGAGAAGCATCCCGAACACTTGGAGAAGGTGGCGCTGCTGCAGGTGGCTGTTCCTTCCCGGACGGACGTGAAAGAGTACCAGCAGCTGAAGGAGCAGATTGACCTGGAGGTCGGACGCATCAACGGACGCTTCTCCACGCTCAATTGGTCCCCCATCCGGTACATCTATGGGTGCATTTCCCAGGATGATCTTGCCGCCTATTACAGGTCAGAGCCACGATCATCATCTTCCATAGGTGGTGTTGGCGATCGTGTGTCCGTTTCTTGCCTTTGGGGTTGGGGTCGCTTTGGCAGAGGGGCTAATTTCAGGACGTTAGATTGCAGACAGACATTAGACAGTCAGAGATCTAAAAGACTTCCTTTATTGTCGGACTACATAGACATACTATCCCATAATGGTGGCTATTATTAGATCCTAATTCATATGAGTTTATGAGGGTAGCAGTATGTCAAATATTATAGAGGCATCCCATGAATTAACACCGCAAAATAGTATTCTTCTCTTCCAATTTTGGCCTTCCAGCATCTACGTCTTGCCGAAAGTGGAAAGCTGAGATTGATGAAATGATTTATTCATTTTCGGAAAGATGATAACAATAGAAGAATCGGGATAATTTAGCTTCGTTCGAAGTAACCTCTGTCGTGCAGCGTGGACGAGGATCTCATGACCCGGATGAAACTGAACCTGTAAAGAAACAGTCGCATTTAAATTTCTTGTATGAAGAAGGAGAAATGGAATATTCAGTCATTTCATGGAGCAAGCCATGTTACCCAGCTCGCTGAAATGAATTCATTCTGAGCAAGCATCAGGTCACTTTTGTGCAAATGGCAAATATCATTCGGTGCATCGTCTCATTGATTATTGCTGGTGAGTGTCCCTTCTTTGTCCTACCGTAGAGAAGCGGTGCGCTAGCTTTTCAGGTCGCGCCCCCCCCCCCTCCCCCTTCCACTGGTTCAGTTTAATCAGAAACTGACTGGAATTTCGGGTAAGATGGCATGAGAAAGGAAACAGGAATTTATGGTTTTTATAGTGTTACTTTAACTTTAACATCACTGCTATTGGGAATAATGCAATACCACAAGACTAAGGCCAATTCAGAAAACAAGTAGTGTTACAAAAAATGGGAAAAAACATAGGTATGCCTCCAGTTGAATCAAACATACTATCACCTCAGGACAGGATTATATAAGATTATAGCAAGGGGATTAACCAATGCACGTTTTGAAATCAAGGGAGTAAAAAGAACAGTCCACTTTCGCAGCACGCACCTGATGAGATCGAGCCGAAGAAAGCAGAATAGGAAAAATAATTTTTTTTTTTACCGTCCTCTCTTCCTCTCCTTTCCCACTTCCTGTCTCCAATTCCATCATGTTTTTTTCTCCTCTTTCCTGTCTTTCATATAGTCAGTCCCGGCATTTCCAGAATTTGATAGTAATAAGAAATTGCAAGCCCGGACGGACTGCATTGTGCTGCACTCGTCTCAATCCATTGAGACATTTCTCCTTCAAAAATCTTTCCGATGCATCGTGATGGTCTAAAAGCTATCGATGCATTGACCTCTCGTGATGGCCCTACTTTATAGTTATTAATGAAAGCGTAGGCCTGCACACTTGCTCTTTTTTTGCAATTTTATAATTTATTACTTAACATTTTTAATTAGCGATTTGCACGCGACATTGCCGGTAGGAATCAGGCATATTGAATTAAAATTAAATCCTCACATAACAAGAAGAATAACTGGTCTTATTCTCATAAATCTGTCACGGGCACGGGGCGCTGCGGCTGGTTGTTAAGTACAGACAACAAATATTTGATCAAATTCGCTTCCTAGCGTCCCGCGCCTGACAACTACCCTTATAGAAACTCTTTCTTCCTTCGGGAGAAAAGGTTCGTGCCTGTTCACGGCCGAGAAAGAAATATCCCACAACCGAGACTGATAATTAATTTATTACTTAAGTGTCTAAAGGTTACTAGGTTGTTCAGCAAAAATATAAAGAAACAAAAATGTTGTTAATTTACAAGATTCACAATCAACAAATATGGAGCTACCCGGTTCCCGAGCAAACGCGCGTAAGAGAGAGAGAGATTTCGAACCTATCGGGAGACCTACTCTTTCGGATCGAACTGGGGCACTAACACTCTGGTCGGACTTGAGGAGGGAAGAACTCCACTATCAAGGGCAGGGCCGAGTCCCCTCGCTTTGAAGATAGGAACTGAGGTCTAATTCTGCAGGCTACAACGATTTCATGACTTCGAACGAAAGTGAATATCTGAAATGATTTCAGGGAATGTATCCCTCGTTATAACGCCACTTTTTGCTGTCACTGATATTTTAAATATTTTATTTTAATACGAAAAACTCTACAAATCTAGGAAATTCAAAGGGAAAATCTATTTGAATATTGGGCGCACCCCCCAGTTTGCGCACCGCTGCCATAGAGGATCGACCCGTGCTAAGTACCACAGGAGGAACAATGGGGAAAATGCATGCTTCAGTTATTGAGATAAGAATATCAATCTCTGTGGAAGGAAGCCTGGGATCATACCAGGGGGAGTCAGCATTTCATGAATTTCGAGGGAAAATTGTGGGTGGCTTCACCGCATTGCAACCTCGTTCCTTCATTTGTGTGCTCTTTGACAGGGATTCGTCTGTGGCACTGGTGACCCCTCTTCGAGATGGAATGAACCTGGTGGCGAAGGAATACGTGGCCTGTCAGGTGGATAAGCCAGGCGTGCTGATCCTGTCTCCCTTCGCGGGAGCCGGGGAGACGATGCACGAGGCCCTGCTCGTGAATCCCTACGAACTGGACGACGTGGCGGACACCCTCCATCGGGCCCTCACCATGCCCGACGACGAGCGGGAGATGCGCATGAATCACCTGAGGAAAAGAGAACAGACCATGAATCTGGATTTCTGGCTCTCGAACTTCCTCAAGGTAGACTCTCTTTTAAATAATTTTTTTCTTTTCGAGAGAGTTTCTACGTGCATTCTGTTATAATCACATCTGATATAAATTCAAGGCGCCAATTTATAAGTTGCCTCCTTGAATAAAATTATTTCATTCATTTAGCGCGTTATATGAAGAGTATATCGAGGCTTATTATCTCGTAAATCTATGGTCATATATATGATGTCACAACTGATACCGTGAACAATTTTGAATGTCACTTAGGATTTACTTCAAGTTATGCAAAGTTGCTGATTTGCATGTTTGTGTCCCCAAAACGGTTTGCAAATGTGTAAGGTTCCCTTCGTTTTTTAACTCCAAGCAACAGGGCAAGACGCGCAATGCATTTATTTCAGTAATCAATTCGCGTGCCGATTTCTAAATGGGGCATCCAGAGTGCGTGGACCATGAAGACTTCTTTTGGCTGGAATTCAGTGTGCTTCGACGTTGTGCACCGCCTCTTTCGTTTATGCCGCGAAGACTGCGGCTAGGTCCCGGGAACAAAGGAGACGTAATATGCCATTAATCTGCCAAATGCCAAAGGCGAGTCTCTGCTGTGTTTCAATCGACAACCAAGATCGTTCGCGAAGTAAGTTGTCGCCGTATGCATTCTTATACGAGTATTTTACATTACTGCAGTTGTGACTCCACATCGCATGTGTTCAAAGCCTGCTTGAGGCTGGGTTCATGCATGAAAGGTAGAAAATACGAGGGCGATTAAAATTTGACCAGAACGTTTGCTTGTAAAAGGCAGAGTAATGTTCAGTCGACGCTCATTATAACGAACCTCTACATAACAATTTTTTTTCCCAATTCCTTACATCCGTGTTGAAAAGTTCCTATATAACGAAGTTCTGTGTAATGAATTTTTCGGTATTAGGAAATATTTTTTTCTTCTGCGGAAGGAAGAAAATTATTCCGCATAACGAAGTTTACACCTGCAGCACGCGTCAGAACTACTTCCTTTCGGCATTCCTGGAAAATCTCATCTCATTTCTAAGTTTCCCGCCTTCCACAATCTCAAGGATCAGTCGAGTCCGGGATCCTGGTCAGTCGAGCAATCGATGCCTTCGACGGTTTTGCAGTCTATGGCTGCATGCTGAGCTTAAAACTTTTCAAACTTCGAGTGCTCAAAGAATCGTCCATGAAGGAGCGCGGCAGACGGTTGTTTGGGACTTCGTTTTGATGAAAAGACATCGTTGGTGACTCGTCCGATTTTTATTACGTACGTACTGCCGTGCATGCCATTTTGGTAAATATTTTTTTGCCAAAAACGTACATACAGTGCATCTAATTTGTCAAAATACGATATTTTTCAAATACATCTGGAAGCTGTATTTTTGCAACATGCGCTTAGGCCATTGCTTCTTTCCATGATTGGAAAACTATTTGTTTTTTTTTTGGTTTTTTTTTTCAGAAACATTTTTTTTTTTCAGAGACATTTTGTTTAAGAGAGCTCTTTTCTTCCCAGCGAAATGTAGGAAATTCACTGTAACGAATTTTCCTTATAACGAAATTATTTAGCCTGTCCCTTCGAGCTCGTTATATCGAGCGCCGACTGTATGTGGCTAAAACATTGGGGGGGGGAATTTTTCTTTATCGTGTTGATACCAACATTCACGTCTTTCCTGCATTATTGCTTGTGGAGCTAAAATCAAGATGGCGGCAATAGAGATAAAAAAAGAGGGTGGAACGACGAATTTTTTTTTGTAATTTCTGATTAACGAGAATTTCAAACCAGTTGATATATCAAGGCGATTGTCCTAAAGTTGTCTGAATGATTTATTTGCAATAATTTATTTTTTTCGTAATTCCGGTTGGATCAATTTTCTATTTCCACCAGAAAAATTGTAAGCACATCCTGATTGATTCGGAGTTTAAAAACGAATTCAGGATGGAAAATTCCAGGTTTCATCTGCGTTAGTTGTTGAACAAAAGAAAAAAAAGAGTTGCTGATAGTAGTCTGTACATCTGGCATTGATGGCACTCCGCGGAATTCCAGTGCAAGTTTCTCCAAGAACGAAGTACGAAGCACGACTCCATGGCATTCGACTTTTACTTAAGCTGGGAGTTGAGATTCCCTGGATTGCATAGCGAAGAATTCCATTGCAGAGAGGGCGAATCCTCCTTCCTAGTGTTTATATTCCATACTCGTGCCTTCGGCGTTCTAGGCCCTAAGAAAATTTCTAATGCATTTTTGGCATCCGATTTTTATTCTCACACCTACCAATGTGGTACAATTATTTGAGGCATAACTACTTTTCATTTTGGCCTCAAGTTACCTCTGGTTGTGTGAAGTCAAATTTCTCACTTCCAATATTTTCCCACTTCCATGGAACTAATATATTTATTTCAAAGCGCGTCCCTCTCGGAAACTGTGCCCTGAGGGGATGAACCTGAAAATAAAATTAAAAAGCATGAAATCAGAATGCGACAAACCACTCGAATCCCGAATTTTGCCTTCATCTATTTCCGTTTTTCCCTGTGCAAAACATTCTGCGAAATTCTTGCCCCCGAATACTATTTTGAGGTATATGCCCTCAGGGTTTATACCTCAACATATGATAGTATTTTTCGTGAAATCAACTCCCAAAGAACAGCTTCATTGCCAAGTATTAGTTTTTTTTTCCCGCCTCGCTCGGAAATGTCTTTTGGGAAAAGGTTCCAATGAAATATTTTGCCCTGAGGGTATGAACATCGAAATCAAGTTTTCCAGAACTAATCATCACAACAGCTAATTGTATGCCAAGTTTCACCTTCTACGAGGGTAAGTCAGAAATTAAGGTTCCCATTTTTTTCCCCGCCAAACTAGCAAACATCTGGTGCTGTGACACCCCTGCATGTTAGTAACAAATAGTGTCACTACGTGGCAGCAGCCACCACTGTTACAAACCCGCGCTGGTAGGCGCAGAGTCGGAGCGAACATGGCGAAGGTACTGCACGTGTAGAGAGAGGTTCCAAGATGGCGCCAAGCCGGCACACACTAATTGTGGCTCTGCTATTGTTCACGGAGATTCTCCACCGCAACCGCACAAGTGAACCACTGTCCACACCCCAACCGTCATGCTTACCATCGCTCTTTTTGTGGACAGTGAACTGTGGCTTGAACCTATTTTTCTCCATGAAGGAGGAAAAAATCAACCAGAAGACCTGTGTGAATCCCTCTTTTCAAGTGGCACGTGTACTAAGTGAACACACCAGCCGCCGCCGTGAGAGACACCTGTTCCTCATCATCTGCACCGTCCTCATCATTAGTGGAGTGGAACTCAACCTCGGTCCGAATTATACAAATACAGAGCAACCCCGATTAACGGACTTCTTCTCCCTTACCCCTAACCGAGGCGAGAGACGGACCGAGACAATCGACAGTGAGGATCCACCGACCCCGTCCAATGTCACCTTGGAAGACATTGCCAGCATGATTCGAGGTATGGACAGGAAAATTGAAGCATTAGGTAAGAATCTGAGAGAATCAATCAAATCGATAACCCAAGATATTACTGAACTCAGGAATGAACAAGCAAACCTTGCAGAGGAAAATCAAGAACTAAGAACTAAGTTAAGCCAGCAAGAAGAAATGACCGATCGCCTTGATAGCCAAATTCGAAGCTAGAACTTGATTTTCAGTGGAGTCATAGAAAACGAAGGAGAAGAATCCCATGAAGCATGCGAAGACAAAATAAGACAGATCATAAAGGAAAATCTGCAGGTTAACGTACAGATCGAATTCCAACGGACTTTCCGTCTGGGTTCGAAAAAGAAGGGAACTACACGTCCAATTCTGGTGCATCTCTCCCATCTCAAGTACAAAGAAAATCCTCGCCGCTGCCAGACAACACAAACCCAAAGAGATATTTATCTCACCCGACTACACAAGAAAGACACAAGAGGCAAGGAGAAACCTGCGTCCCTTCCTCGACAGGGCAAGGAAAAATGGTCAAAAAGCATACTTAAAACGCGACAAGCTGGTCGTTGAGGACTCAGTCTATTCACTACAAAACGGCAATCTAGTGGAAGATAAGGTGGGCCGAAGACCTAGAGCGGATGAAATTATGTTGGATGCCGACATCAGTGACGCTGGCCCCATTCAACACCATAGCACACACCACGATCCGCCTCTTCCACGCGCCGCACCCGAAGAGTCTCGCTCAGATGGAAGAAGACACCTCCGATCTGATCGCCTCTTGGGCAACAGACAGACAGATAATCCACCCACTAGAGGTGCCAGACCGAAAAAGAAGTAGCAATTACAAGTGGGCAGGTGCGATGAGGGAAATCCTTTTGTTTCAGTTCCATCTTTAATTAGCTTCGTCTCCTGGAATATTACGGGTTTAGCACCAAAATTTTTTGGCTACAGCGATATCTCAACAAGAAAGGAATTCTTAGACTTTTTACGTGTTTTCTATATAATCTGCTTCCAAGAAACGTGGGCCCATACAGAAGATCAATTTACACTGGACGGTTTCAATGTTTTTGCTTCCACCCGCCCACCATCCCGATTCCTGAGAGACTCCGGCGGACTACTAGCCTGGGTTAGAATCTCGTTCGAAGGGGTAAAGAAACTTTCCTCTCACTCTGCAAATTTTTTATGGCTCTTCCTTCCCTGCAAGACTAGTCACGACATCATCCTCGGAAATGTCTACCTCTCCCCTCAAAACTCTTCTTTTGCAGATGATAGCTTATTTGATGAACTCGAAGAAGACATCTGCCAACACAGAAGTAACTATCCTAATAGCCATATCACCGTTGCCGGGAACTTTAATGCGTACACGAGAGAGGATAACGACAACATCTCTATGGATTCGACAAACCACCTTCCCCTACCCAGCCAGTACACAGAGGATAAAGAGATACGGAGAAGGACCAACAAGGACAAACACGAAGTCAACGCATATGGAAGACAACTACTGGATTTATGTGCACGAACAAATATTCGAATAGTAAATGGGCGAGTTAGCTCGGACAGAGAAAAGGCCAAGTCACACATATTGGAACATCCTCAGCCTCCCTAATAGACTACATCCTCTCGGATGATCAATACCAGGACGAAAAAGCGGAGCTCTGCGTTCTTCAACGAATGGAATCAAGCCACATGCCTGTCTCCTTTGCGGCTCCCAAAGCCGACTCGCAAACGACAACACAAGCGGACGCAAATGCCATGCGAAATAACAAGGGGCGCGTTCGTTACCTATACGACCCCGCTGCTGCCACCATATNTGTGTTTTGTCCCCTCTCCTGTTCAATCTGTTTGTCCAAGACCTACCCGCCTTCTTGAGAGAAAATGCCCCCGAACCTATCATGCTAAACAACTTTCCTGTGTCGTGTCTCATGTACGCGGACGACTTAGTAATTTTCAGCGACACTCCCCTCCGTCTTCAAAAACTAGTTGACCGTTTGAAAGAATACTTAGATAACTGGAACTTACGTGCAAATCTACAAAAGTCCCAAATCATAATTTTTCGACGGGGTGGTCGCCTTACGCAGCATGAGAAATGGTTTTTCGGCGGTAATCGAATTCAGGCCGTTCCATACTATAAATATCTCGGCATGATCTTCAGCTCTCGTGGCACGTGGAGAATTGCCCAAAAAAACACTTGCCCAACAAGCTAGAAAAGCCCTGGGTTTAATTAAACCAGCCCCGGCCTGGACTGCTGTCACAGGGAGTGCTTCTATTGCACGGTAATGCCCGCCCGCACACTGCTCGTTCCACGATGAACCTTCTCAGCACCAGGCGATGGGAAACTGTTCACCCAGCATACAGTCCAGACCTGGCGCCGTCGGATTTTCACTCGTTTGGGAAGACGAAGAAGCATCTCCGAGGAAGACGCTTTCCATCGGATGATGCCGTCAAAGAGGAAGTCACAAAGTGGCTTCAGGAGCAGGACGCGTCCTTCTATCGGCATCTATAAGCTGATCGACCATTACGACAAATGTCTCAACAAGTCTGGTGACTACGTGGAAAAATAATAAACGTATGTGGGGACATTTCCTGTATATTGTCTTCGGTGCAATTACCTGTCCTCCGAAGATATTAAATAGGGAACCTTACTTTTTGACTTACCCTCGTACTTCTGCCCGATTCACTAGAGCAAAGCAAATTCTTGCAAAAGGTCTTTCCCAAAAAATATGCCCCCCGGGGATATACCTGAAAAGTGACATTTTTCATGGAATCAACACATCAGTAGACACGATCATGCCTATTTTCAGCTTTTCAAGTCCGTCTGTTTCACTGAAGCAAATTTTTTTTTCAAGACGTTCCCCCTCCAAAAATATGCCCCCAGGGATGTATCTAAAAAATTACATTTTCCCTGTAATCGGCATATCAGTACACACCATGCCTATTTTCATTTTTCCATGTCCCTCCGTTTGACTCCAGCTAAAATATTTGCTAAAAACGCCACCCCCAAAAAATTGGCCTCCAGGGCATGTACCCCCAAAGTCGGATTTATTCTTAACTCAGCATCCTAATAGTTACTTATGTATCAAGTTTCAGGTTTCTACCATATCTACAACATGGTTAGAAATAGCGTCTGTCACTCAGTCACTCACTCACGATCGCCTATATATTGATATATTAGATGCCTTACAGTACTCAGCATCTGGGGCCATGTTGAAGATTCGGGAATTGACATGTTCTTCATCGTTTCAGGCGATGGGGAGCTTCAACTTCGGGGAAGGGCAAAACGAGCCGATGACAACTAATACCTTAGGCCCCATGACAATGGAGGACTTTGATGAATTCCTTAGCGATTACATCGGGGATACGGCCAAGATAGCCCTCCTTTTGGACTACGATGGAACGCTGGCCCCCATCGCTCCCAAGCCGGAGATCGCCTTCATGCCCGCAGAGACGAAGAACATCCTCGCCCGGCTGAGCAACAGCAGCGACGTCGCCATCGCCATCGTATCCGGCCGAAGCCTGGAAGACGTGCAGAAGATGGTCGGGATCGACGGCATCACCTACGCCGGGAATCACGGCCTGGAGATTCTCCACCCAGACGGGAGCAAATTCATCTACCCGATTCCTAAGGAGTACCACGAGAAGATTTGGAACATGTGTCAGGAGCTGCAGGACGAATGCTGCAAGGACGGTGCCTGGATCGAGCACAAGGGTCCCATCATTACCTATCACTTCCGCGCTGTCCCGATCCAGCTCAGAGGTACATTCAAGCAGAAGGCGACCGCTATCATCTCCAAGAATGGTTTCAAGGTTCATCGGGCTCACTGCGCCATCGAAGCCAGGCCACCTATTCAGTGGGACAAAGTGAGACTATTTGCTGCTTTCCCCTAATCCTTGCCATCTAGGATAACTTGTTTCGATATTGGTTAAAGGTATCTCTAAAACATTGGGGGGGGGGGGGGCAGGTTGAGCAGGCATTCGTTTGTGTTGGTTGTCTATGATAAGCATGTCGTGAAAGGAAGCTGCTCTGTGATTCTTTGCGAGAGCATAATAGATCCGGATTTCTGATATGGATCTCTGGGATCATGTAGGAAAAGCTTCATATCGATGTACATGCAGTTATCGAGATGAGAGGTGGCTGAAAAATAACTACCTGATTTCGGACTTAAATATGTTGGGAACGACAGATGGGAGCAAGACTTGTTAATATATTTTTTTAAAAATCGTTAGGATTTTCTTTCTTGAGAATATACGTAAGGTTGATTACTTCTTTTCATTGAAATAACTGCTCAAAATGAGAACACGAGCGAAAATGCTGTGCCCTGTCATGGCACGATACCTGCTTTTATCTCTCCTTCGCATCACCTGATTTACTGACCCCCAACGATCCCTCTGTTTTCCTTCCAAGGGTCGAGCATCCATCTACATCCTTCGAACCATGTTCGGCGTGGACTGGCTGGAGCGGGTCCGCGTCATCTACGTCGGGGATGACGTCACGGATGAGGATGCCTTACTCGCCCTCCATGGGATGGCATGCACCTTCCGCATCACCTCGCACCACCTGATCCGCACCGCTGCGACCAAGCGCCTGTCGAGCACGGACTCGGTGCTGACGCTCCTGAAGTGGGTGGAGCGGCACATCTCCAAGCGTCCCATGCGCGAGGAGCCCCACATCACGTGATTTCAAGATTGATTCTAATATTTTTTGCATTAGCTTATTATACTACCATTCTACTCAAGTAATTAATGTCGGTTTACCTTTTTAAGGTAAAGTATGGCATTTTATAGCACTTCAAGTTTTTTTTCTATAGCTTTCTTACGTTCTGTAGAAATATTTGCATCTGCATTCATAATTTCCTAATTTGAATGCTTGCTTAGGACGTCCAACGTTACCTGTTCGGATAAAGAGGTCGAATGACATACCATGCGTTGCAATTCTTTTCACCATAGAAATGCATACCGTCCTGGCCCGGGGAAGGAAATTGACCCAGTTCGACCCAGATACACTCATCGCTCAAAGAAAAAAAAAAGCAATTCCTCAAATGAGTCAAGCTATGTCGATGAAATTTGATTCACAAGTTCGTAGCGTTGAATAGAGCTTCAAGAGCGTCGGAATGCCGTATCCTTTAGATATCTGAGAAAACGGGTAGGAGGTGGTGGAGTGAATTTCAGATGACAGGTCAGATGCGGGATGGGAGAAAGGGTGAGAGTGGACAAAAAGAAAGTAAATGACATGGAGATGCTTGACACCACTGAAATGATCTCGACCGATGAGCCCGTCGCTTCAGTGGGAGAAGTCAATACACATCTCTGACAGGCTATGCCACTGAAGCCTCAAGTTTCGAAAGAGGCCCAGTGAGGGCAACTGTACGTATGACAGGAAGTGGGAAAGGAGAGGGAAAAAAGACTGAGAATATTTTTTTCTCTTCTGTTTCAGTCTTCGGCTCGATCTCATGATGTGCATGCTATGGAAGTGGACTGTTCTTGTACTCCCTTCATTTCGAAACGTACATCGGTTAATCCCCCTCTCTATAATCCTGTATTTCTCTTTAGTATGGAGGCTTAAGTTTTTGAATTTTTAACTTGCTCTGGGGAATTTTACCACATAAGGTGAAAAGTGAATTATTTACTCGGGTGTCGCTTGAATCTAGGGCTGTAGGGACGTTTCGGCAACCGCAGGTGTGGCACCATCGACAGGTTTCCTAAGAAACAATAATGAAAACATTTTTTATATGGTTAGCGTGGAGGTAAATGCCTTGACTTGGCTTTGATTACAATGGATTCCGCTTTTATTGGGTCATCAGTTAATAGGGCAGCCGGTTTATCGGGACATTTTGTGAGGAACGGAACCATTTCTATGCAGGTGCATAGAAATGCATAAATTTCGCAGTATATTCGGTACAAAAATCCGCTTCACTGAGGCAAGGTCGGAGTGAATTTAAGCCGTCGGTCCCAGATGTTTTTTTTCCGCCCACTCTCTCCCTCTTCGCCTTGTGTTTTGCGGTTAAGAACTGGCCGACTGTTGAAGCAGAGACCAGAGCAAACTGCTTCCGTGGATCTGGCTTTCTTTCTGGACCAGAGGTGCCAGCGTCAACCTATGAGGAGGGTCTGACTATTCTTGATGTCCCTAAAGAAGCCTTCGTCAACATCGACGAAAACGCACCATGCTTCGCCGAACACGATGACTCCGAGGACATCGTTGCCATGAGGCCTCGCTTAGGGGATGTCGCAGACGAGGAACCCGAGACTTTACCTGAGGTGACTCCCATGGTATCCGGAAAGAACATCGCGAGGCGATAACATCGCATGTCGATAACATCGTGTGGGGCCCGCTAGGCTTGAAAGCCTGCTAGCAAGCCTGATTTCAGTCTGTTCTTTGCTTTTTGGGAGCAGACGTGTTTCGTCTCGTTCTTTCAGTCAATTGAGTGTCACGCAAGTGAATTTAATTTAAGGTAAGTAATTTACTTTAGTTTGGGTTACCGTTATCTGTATACAAGGTGTAAACTTAGATCAACTCGGGCCGGAGCTTACCCAGGGTAGCAATAGCGTGGTTATTGCTCGTTGAAAACTTAATCCGATACCTCGCCACAAGACCGTAATAATTAAATGCGTTTTTAGTTTTAGATGCCGCTCACTGTGTCTGTTAGTCAAAAGGGGAAGCAAATCCTCACTGACCAGGGCTACTCGTACATCAAAGAACGCCACGGACTCCCTGGGGAGAAGGAAATTTGTCGCTGCGTCAATTACACGACGGCGACTAAATGTCGCGGCAGATGCCATACTCTTGGGTCCGAAATCGAGCATCGCAATTACAAACACAACCATGAGCCCGACGTCGCCGCTCAAAAAGCAAAAGACGCGATGAACGAAATTAAAACGCGTGCTGTAGATTCAAGAGAAACTCCAGCTCACGTCATAGCGGTCATCGTCCCAGAACTTCCAGTCGCAGTTCAAGCCAAACTGCCGCCCAAGGAGACCATCAAACGCATCATTCGTCACAAACGAAATTTAGTGCACGCTCCACTACCTGAGCCGCAGAATTTGCGCGAGTTGGTCATCGAAGAGCCGTATTCACTGTATAGGGATGCGCAGTTTGTCCTCTTCGACAGCGGGCCGTCAAATGATCGAGTGGTGATTTTCGGCACCCAAAAGAACTTGGATCTATTGGCGNATGGCGTTCACTTTTGTAGTCTGAAGTTTTCTGCATATGTACCAAGTTATGTACCAAGTTTCATCTTTCCACACTAGTTCAATACGCCAGGACAAAAAAAATACTTGAAAACGTCGGTTCGCAAAAATATTATACGTTTGCCCTTTCCGCTGGTGAAAAATCATGTTTGGAAAAGCCGACCAACCCAAATGCAATGCCCGGAGGGGATACACCATGAAAGCTGAATACTCCCTCAACTCAATAATATCATGTCACTTATACGTGTGCCAAGTTTCAACTTTCCATTTCTGTCCAAATCCCCAGGACATTCATAAACATTCTTTTCATAAACATCACCCCCCCTAACTCCTTATCTTGGTAGTCACATTCATACAAAGTTCCATCTTTCAATGTCCAACGGTTTAACTAATACAAAAAAATTGTGAAAACATCTCCCTTTGAAATTCATGCCCCCAGGACATTTCATTCCAAAGTCTGAATTTTTCTGCATGCAGCATCCCGGTAGGTAATTATGTACCAAGTTTCATCTTTCCGCACTAGCTCAATACACCAGGACAAAAAAATACTTGAAAACGTAGTCCCCCATAAATATGCCCCCAGGGCATGGATCTAAAATTTTGCATTTCTCCTGAACTCATCGTGTCGGTAGGCTCGTCAATGCCACGTTTCAGCTTTCCAAATCTCTCCGTTTTATTCCAGCAACGGGACATGGAAGGGAAGAGAAGCCAAAAAATGGCAAGGTATGGCTGGGAATTGAACCCTGGCCTCACCATTACCGGTCCTATGTGCTACCGCTACACTACCAGAACGGTGATATACACTGGCATTTTTCGATGACATCCTTATCCATCACGATATATATTTAAAAAAATTCTCCCCCCAAAATGTGTACCCCCCTCCAAAGGTCATGTACCTCCAAAGGGCATGTACCTCCAAAGTCGGATTTTTTCTGAACTCTGCACCCCAAAAGGTACATGTGTACCAAGTTTCAGATTTCTAACCTTTCTGGAACATGGTTAGAATTAGCGTCAGTCAGTCACGATTGTCTATATATATTAGATTAGATAGCTTACAGTACACATGGATATTCTGCTCCTAAACACCATCATCATGATATTCGAGCTGATTGCCACAATCACCATTGTGAACGCCTTGATTTAGCACGTTTTCATGAGACTCAAGACGACTTTGTTGATTTCGTCTTCCTAGCACATTCAACACTCTTGCATCACCGATTAGCTAATCGACTATTAGCATTAGCGTATAGTACAGACACCAATGATTCTGAAACAGTACGGACCGTTTCCAGAACTTGTTCGACGGCACAGAGGGAAGTTAGTGCATGTGCGACACAATGCTAAATATTAATACCTGAAAATCCAAACCTTGAATCAAGTTGCTTAGCTGGCTGCACGGCTCTCCTATTCCGGAGCTCAGCACTCGCTGCCTCTTGTTGTTCAGCAGTCTGAGCGGCCCTAATCTCCCTACGTACATGTGCTTGCTGTTCATCACCAGCTCTAGCCATTACGGCTAGCACCGATTTAGGCACTTCGTACTACAACTGCAGTGGCAAACGTTTCAACAACAACTGCCTCATCGCCGTCCTGGGGGACCTCCTTCAACATTTCTTCTTCGCGTTCAACCTCACCTCGCAAAAATCGCCACCATTTTGATGGGATGTGCACCTCGTTTGCGCGACATATGGAGAGAGACTTTTTGGACTATTATTTTGACTTCATCAATCATGAGAACTCAAATCGGCCATGAAATGAAACGCAAATAGAAAAGGTATCCGGAAAAAAACATCGCGAGGTCATAACATCGCACAGTGGAAACATCGCAAGACGATAACATCGCATGTAGATAACATCGTGTGGGGCCCGCTAGGCTTGAAAGCCTGCTAGCAAGCCTTATTTTAGTCTGTTCTTTGTTTTTGGAAGCAGACGTGTTTCGTCTCGTTCTTTCAGTCAAATGAGTGTCACGCAAGTGAATTTAATTTAAGGTAAGTAATTTAATTTAGTTTGGGTTACCGTTATCTCTATACAAGGTGTAAACTTAGATCAACTCGGACCGGAGCTTACCCAGGGTAGCAATAGCGTGGTTATTGCTCTTTGAAAACTTAATCCGATACCTCGCCACAAGACCGTATTTATTAAATGCGTTTTTAGTTTTAGATGCCACTCACTGTGTCTCTTAGTCAAAAGGGGAAGCAAAACCTCACTGACCAGCGCAACTCATACATCAAAGAACACCACGCATTCCCTGGGAAGAAGGAAATTTGGCACTGCGTCAATTACACGACGGCGACTAAATGTCGCGGCAGATGCCATACTCTTGGGTCCGAAATCGTGCATCGCAATTACAAACACAACCATGAGCCCGACGTCGCCGCTCAAAAAGCAAAAGACGCGATGAACGTAATTAAAACGCGTACTGCAGATTCAAGAGAAACTCCAGCTCACGTCATAGCGGTCCCGGAACTTCCAGTCGCAGTTTAAGCCAAACTGCCGCCCAAGGAGGCCATCAAACGCATCATTCGTCACAAACGAAATTTAGTGCACGCTCCACTACCAGAGCCGCAGAATTTGTGCGAGTTGGTCATCGAAGAGCCGTATTCACTGTATAAGGATGCGCAGTTTGTCCTCTTGGACAGCGGGCCGTCAAATGATCGAGTGGTGATTTTCGGCACACAAAAGAACTTGGATCTATTGGCGACTTCTCATCATTTGTTCGCTGATGGGACTTTCAACC